TTTCGTTGTTGTGATGGCTGACGTTTTGGTTAGCGATTAAGTAGGTTTAATTTGTGCATTCTCCTAGATCGCATTACCTGTCATTTCACTAATGTTTTTTATTATTTCTTTATGTTCCTAGTAGAGCAAAGACCTTCAAGCTAGAGCTTTGAAGTCTCGGTAGCAGTGGCATTTATTTTTACGGGATAGGTCGCTGACCTCATACCCAACTTTCCCTCTTCACCAGTCTTATTACTGGCTTGGCGAGGTAATGAAGTGCGTCGGTTGGGAATCGAACCCCGGCCCAACCACCTGAATGGTTGGCGAACATTCTACCTCTGTGTCACCAATGTACAACACCAATTTGCTAAGAAATATTTTCCTCAAACCTTTTTAAAAAAAGCACAGGAATACTGCATACATGCTCAGAGCTATGAAGAAATCATATGGATTTATACACACAAACCTTAATTTCCCAGAGAGTTAGGTACGATAACCAACTGTTTCACTTACTCAGATAACTAACCACTAAAGAACTCTAACATGGAAACAATTGCTTTGTCTAATTTCCGCGAGAAAATATGGAAATCAGTAGATAATACGCACCTAAAGGGTCTTTAACTGATGGACTATTACCTTGTAAGTCTGCTATGTGATTCAAAAGCCTTGCATTCATATAGGATGCACTTTACCGGCTAAGGTATCCCAGGACTTTCAAATATAGAGTGCGGCTCATATCTTAATACACAAAAGTATCAATCTTGCGTAAATTTTTAAAGGGTTGTCAAGTTCACAGCAGGTTTAACTGTGAACGAAGCTATTTTGTAGGACATATTTCCAGATTAGAGATCTTTTAACGGCGTAAATTTGGAGGTAAGTAGTTTAAAATATATATTCTGAAGGTTAAGCACCTCTCTTTCATATTAATTTTATGGATGACTTTATTCATAAAAGTACATTTAAAGGCACAAGCTCATTGGTCGAATTTTCCAACCACCAACTAGTCAGTTATACATTTGAAAGCTACTTTTGTTACTTCTAGTCAATTCTTGTAATTAGTTATTCAAGTAATGGTTTGTAGGGATTTGACTGATTGGTTACAGGATTTCATCATGAGCTGACATTGGTTAGAGAACCATTGGAAAACCAATTGGGAGTACTGGACAGCTGTTTTGTCACACTAGTTTGAGACTCTTGAGCAGTACGCATCTACTGCCAGGGTTTGAACCCACGACCTTCTGGTTACAAGGCTACCGAGCTCGTAGACCATTAAGCCACTGGGACCCGATCCAATAGGCCATGAATTTTAACTTCTGCCAATTCATGATATAGGGCGACCACATGATAAATTCCTTTAACCAATCACTCAAATCCCTACAGACCAATACTTGAATATCTATGAGATGCTCACTGGTGACTGGCTCTATTCAGGTAGGTAGTTACCCCGTATTCTAGTGGGAATTCGTGACCAGTAGAGTGCAGCAGGTCGGTTGTGAGGTCAAATACTCGCCGAAGACATCGGCTAGCGGTTGCGCTATATCGTGAATTGGCAGAAGTTAGGATTCATGGGCCACTGGATCGGGTCCCAGTGGCCTAGTGGTATACGAGCTCGGTGGCCTTGTAACCAGAAGGTCCTGGGTTAGAGCCCTGTCAGTGGGTGCTTACTGCTGAAGAGTCCCAAACTAGGCTGACGAAACAGTTGCCCAGTACTGCCAGCTGATTTTCCAATGGTTCTCTAAATGATGTCAGCTCATGAAGAAATCCTCCAACCAATTATGCAAATATCATAAATTTATCTTACACTTTAGTGAGTGTTTCTAAATGTGTTTTGTAGATCCATTTTGCTTTGTGTTCACTAAACATTACATACTTATTAAATAAAGTATGTGATATGCCTAATATCTGGAAAAAACCTAGAGCAGGATTTCATCATGAGCTGACATCAGTTAGAGAACCATTGGAAAACCAACTGGGAGTACTGGACAGCTGTTTTGTCACACCAGTCTGGGACTCTTATTCAGCAGTACGCACCCACTGCCAAATTTCGAACCACGACCTTCTGGTTACAAAGTGAGCTAGCTCGTAGTCCATTAAGCCACTGGGACCCGATCCAATGGCCAGCCCATGAATTCTAACTTCTCTCCAGTACTTTCAGTTCGTTTTCCAATGGATCTCTAACTGATGTCAGCTCACGATGAAATCCTCCAACCAATGAAACCAAATCTCTACAAAAACCAATACTCGAAAATATATGCATAACCCTAAATATTTTGACTACTTTACAAATAACCACTGAATAAGAAAATCGAAAGAAAATTTACTCAGTAGTTAGTTACAAAGAGTAAATTATCGGGTGGATAAAAGTGAAATTTGTATTTTAAATGACCTCAAAGGCAGACGAGAGTATCTTTTGATGTTTAGTTATGAAAATAAGCATCTTTCTTTACTATCAGCAAGAAAAGATAACGATTAAACAAGATGAAAGAAATAGAGAAAGAAAAAGGTGTTTAGCCTTTAATTTGAATATTTTGAAATACTTTATACCGCCAAACACTAAAAAGTGCAAATTTCTTACAAACAGGAACACAGATTTACTCTTTGTGTGTGTTTGAAGTCTATTTCTCCTGAGTTGAATATACTGACTGGCTGGCTGACTGAATTTCAACTGAGAATTTTCCACAGAGTTGTAGTAGATCAAGTTGCCTTATTCCATGTGGTACACAAATAGTAGACAAAAGAGAGAAAAATGGAGTACAAAGAAGTACCATAACAAGAGGAAATCTAAAGGAAGTGGACATAGTGGAAAGACATAACGGTTTAGGCAATATAGGCGATCACAGAAATTGAATACATCTGAGAACTATTTTACGCCATATCTCCAAAAGCCTCGAGCTAGTTACTAGTTCCTAGAGTCTCAGCGATGCCAAAGAAGTAGTCTACACCTCTCGACGTGGTTGACTCAAAGACTTCAAGGAGTGATTCCGGGTTTTTTTGGTTCGATCACCTGTAACGTTTGACTAGCCTAATTCAGTGTCGGTTAACATTTCGCGTCGAGGATGGCTATGGCTCACAATGAGCAGTATATGTCCTAGGCGTCCCGGTCAGTGTAGCTTCACAACCTGATCGATTGGCTTAACCTCCTTGCTTAATGCTCTACACTCAGTCTGAGTATTACTCTCCTTATCAATGGGTAGAATCACAATTAAGGTAGAAGGAGAAGAAAATTCACCAAACTGGGAAGTGATATCCATCCATGGTGTTATTAGCTACTAGGTTAAACTGAAAACACGAAGCCTGATTAATCAGAACCTTTGTGATCGGGAAAACCTGCTGTCAGAGATTAAGTATTGTTAAAACTCAAATGGACGCATTTTTATCACGCTTAGCAATGAGCCGCACTAATTATGTAAGGGTGAATGATACCACCTGGTTACTCAAACCTCGGTAATTGATGTGGGTTTCATTCGCATGAACCAGTGGCGGCTGGAAACCAAGCACCTAGACCAGAATTTAATAACAATTTTCTTTTCAGTCAGATAACCTCTAAACACAACTTCACAAGTAAATGATACGTATAAATAGTGGAGTAATTTGTGAATACAGAAATAGTGAAAACTGTGTGGTTACAAAAACGAATATGCTAAAACACAGAGCTAAAGTTACTTAATACTGAACTGTGAGGGGAGTAGAAAAGATTCTTCACAGCCTCAGTTCTACAATATTTTGAGGTCTCCAGGTCATAGTTTACAACCACTCCCAAGTTTTATTTATACTTAGTAATCGTGGATAAGATAAAGCCATTTGTTGAGTAGTCGCGCATATTATTGTGAACAGCATGCATAACCAGACACTTGCTCTTAGATAATTGAATTTTAGATTTTCCCGTCGATTGATTGGACCGAAGTACTCGGTCTCAGCTTGACTTGTTGGCTTGTTGTGCAGATGCTTCCACAATGTCTGGGCATGTGATTATAATTTAATTGGTGGATGGTGACTAGCAGTGAAATCCAGGATAACGAGCAATTCGTCCTATTTGGGACTCATCAGCTGGATGTACCTGCATTCCCCAGTGAGTGATGATGTTCCCACCGAGGCTCGAACCCAGTGCCCACAGTTTTAAACCTGAGACCGAGCACTTCAGTCCAATCAATCGATTGGAAAATCTAAAATTCAATTAAATAGTTAATATGACCCGTTGCACAAGTGGTGGCTCTCATGGCCCAAGTGGTCTAGTGGATAACGCTTTGGCGTTTGAAACTATGGGCACTGGGTTCGAGCCTCGGTGGGAACATCATCACTCACTGGGGAATGCAGGTACATTCATTGACGAGTTCCAAATAGGACGAAATGCTCGTTGTCCTGGATTCCACTGCTAGTCACCATCCACCAATTAAACTTACTCTTATTGTTTGCCAGGGACCAATGGTTATAAAATTCAGTTGATAGATCTAGATCTTTTTGCAAAGCAAGTTGATCGCTGTCATTCCCTGGAACCCTCCAGAGCTTAATATCGTAGGCTAAGTTTCGACGAGACGATTCAATCCCCAACGGTATCTCACCCGAGTGAAGTAGGGAGTGAAGAAGGTATAGGAGTATTGAGCGAAAGCAGCTGTTGATGAAGGTCTGTAGTTTTTTTGAGGTGCTCTGCATGACGCGCCAAGTCTCTGATCCGTATAGTAGCACTGACTTCTCATTGGAGTTGAAAATCTTGTTCTGACTTTTCATGCTGAGTGCTGTTGACCTCCACACAGACTTGAGAGTAGTGAAAGCTTGTCTTGCTTTCCCGATCCTTACTTTGATATCCTCGTCAGTTCCATCCGCCTGTAGTTGAAACGATGCTTCCTAGGTGGGTAGGTAAAGGAGGTTGTTTCTTTCAGGTTCCTTCCATTTATGCTGATTGTTGTCTGTTGCTGTTGGCCAGAAATCTTCATCACCTCTGTTTTGTATAACTTTCCTAAATATGTTCTCCTCATTTTTATTGATGCATATTTTTTCCCTTTTTTTCTTATTACTATTATTAGGAATTTTTAGAATGGATAAAAAATGACTGTCCATTACACCTACCGAATATTGTTTTCGTAGAGTTGAACAGAAAACTACCCAATAAAAAGAAAGTCATGAAAAATACTGAAGAAGCAGCTAACGGGAAAGAAGTCACAGCAGTCAGACGACAGTCTCGTCAATTGTCACCACTCAATAACAATAACAACAATACAACTAATAATAATAATAATGATAATAATGGTAATGACATGATGGAGAAGCATTCAGGTACACCAAAATTATCAAGTAACTCTGTTGTTTTAAATAATGCAACCAATATTGAAGATAATCATATTGATGATAGTATCGACAGAAGCAAGCGTACACCTTCACCAACTCAATTATTATTATCCTCTTCACCTCCACGATGTCCTATAAAAATCATTACAGTTGGAAAACCACAATCTATTGATCGAAAGAATAATGACTGGGAAGATTCTGTTGCAAACAATAATAATAATAGTACTAATAATAATTTACATTCATTTAAATTACCAAAAGGCACAGCAGCTCTTCCGTCATCCATATCTTTGAATCATTTAAATACTCCATTGGCGAATTATCATTCAAATTTTTTATATCGTTTATATAAACAAGATATTAAACCGTGTTTTGATTTTACCAGTCCACAGTTACTCTTATCAATTTATCGAGCTCTACCAGAATTAGCCCTAGAGATTGTACCGATAACACCAGAGTTGGGTGGTAGTCTACGCCGTAATATCAACAGCCATGGTAATGATAACAACAACAGCAGTAATAATAATAATATTAGTAAAACAACAAAAATCTGTCGAGAAAATTGTGTATTACTGCCAAAATATGAGGCAGAATTTCATATGAAAATAAGGGTGAGTTATATTATGTTGTTCAATGGTTTCAATTGATATTAAAATGTTGTTTTTGTTTCTTTAACTAGCGAATAGTTTATTATACCTTTTATGGTAAACTTAAATATTTTTCAAGTATTGGCTTTGTAAGGATTTTGTTTGATTGCATGGATGATTTCATCATGAGCTGACATCAGTTAGAGAACCATTGGAAAACCAACTGGGAGTACTGGACAGCTGTTTCGTCAGCCTGGTTTGGAACCCTTCAGTAGTACGCATCCACCTTCTACAAGCTCGCCTTGTGATCAGAAGGTCTTTGGTTCGAACCTCAGTGGGTGTGTACTGATGAAGAGTCCCAAACTAGGTTGACGAAACAGCTGTCCAGTACTCCCAGTTGGTTTTCCAGTGGTTCTCTAACTGATGTCAGCTCATGACGAAAATCCCCCATGCAATCAAACTTAAATATGGTTTCGATTGAGATAACGAGACAGAAGTGATGAAGATACCCGACCTGACCAATAATGAACACCAATCACTGTTATTTGGAGAAATCAGTGGAAAGTCACCTATTCCATTCACCTTGGAGGCATCGTTTCAACCACAGGCGGCAGAGATTATGATGTTAAAGATAGCCAGGATCGGATCTAGGAAGTGGAAACCAGCGTTCCCTGCCCTGAAATCAGTGTGGAGATCCACAGCACTTAGTACAAGGGAAAAGATGCCAGTTGTTTTTTTTTTAACAGGGGACTTCGAGAGCTATCAAAATCACTGCCAACAGACTGCGAACTTTCACCAACAGGCTATCTCTCCTCCATACTGGAAATTCATTCATTGGCCAGAAAGGATATGCAAAAAGAAATTCTGGCAGAAAATCAGCAAGCAGCCTACCATCTAGCAGATATGGAGAAGGAAATGCAGATGAAATGGAAACACACTGAAGAGACTTTTGAGTGACTTTTGAATGAACTAGTCAACTAGTCGGGGGCATCCAACAAGGTAATATGAAGAGGAAATGAAAAGATTGTGGGCAGTCATGATGCCAGTTAAAAGTGATATGGAGTGAAACGAAGATGGACTGCTGAATGTAAGGACTAAAAAATAATAATAATAATGAGAAGACAATAGTTGTAAGATAAAAGTATTGCCTAGGTTCTCTAAAATCGCGTTAAACCAGAGAAAAAAACTGATCAACGGATTATAATGCATCAATAGATTCACTTCTATGAGAATGTTTTTGCGTGTCACAGACAACAATCAGCATAAATGGGAGGAACCTGAAAGAAACAACCTTTACCTACATATCCACCTGGGAAGCATCGTTTCAACTACAGGCGGATGGAACTGATGAGAATATCAAAGTAAGGATAGGGAAAGCAAGAAAGCTTTCATTTCTCTCAAGTCTGTGTGGAGGTCAACAGCACTCAGCATGAAAAATCAGAACCAGATTTTCAACTCCAATGTGAAGTCAGTGCTACTATACGGATCAGAGACTTGGTGCGTCATGAAGAGCATCTCAAAAAAACTACAGACCTTCATCAACAGCTGTCTTCGCTCAATACTCAAGATCAGATGGCGGGCCAGAAAATATCAGCAACAGGGATCTCTGGCAATGAGCGAACCAACCCAGCAGGAACCAATTGTGGGACAAATAAGCAGGAAGAAATGGAGGTGGATTGGCCATACTCTGAAACAAACCATCAAGTGACATCACAGGCCAGGCCATTGCTCGAGTGGAACCTGAACGGAAAGCGGCGAGTTGGTCGTCAGTGTGAGGGTGACATGGAGGAGGTTATGTGGAGATGAGATGAAGGCATGTGGGCAGACGTGGAGCGACGTTAGAACGTTGGCAGAGAACCGAATGCAATGGTAAAGCACGGCTGAAGCCCTATGTTCCTCTAGGAATTAAAGGAAACAATAATAATAAGTGGAGAAAAAACTGTCATTAATAGGACAAACGTTGTGAGAAATAAAACCAGTCTTTATTGATGTTAGGTGGCTTACTTGTATGAATTGAATAAAGTAAGAAGTTAGACACCAGTGTCTACAAAGAAGCCATGCATTCAAAACAATATTTTGGTTCATCATCAAGGAAGTGATGAAAGCATCTAGTGGGAGATAGTTAGACGTTTACGCAGCAAATCTCAAACCCGATGAAAACTAAATTTAATTTGTTAGCACTACTTTCGCACCACAAGTATGCTCTATAGGTAATTACTAGTCCTCAACCCCTGCTCTCATGTGGTAGAACTAAATGCATAAGAATAAACGCTATTAAAAACAATATTTTTGTTTGTTAAATAGTATTCAGTGGTTAAGATCAATGGGATTACAGCTCAAATACATGTGTAATTAACGATAAGCATAAAAAGCGTAATACTTAATTGAATATCAGATAACAGCAAGAAGAAAATCCATGGGAAAATTAAATTATATAGTTAAAACACTGATGGTCAAGGTAAGTGAAGAGTCTAAACCAACTTTTTCTTTTGAACACATAAGTTAGGCTTCTTAAGGAGGATTCCGAAAGCGGACAAGGAGGATAAAATCAAGATTTGTCGGAATACGACAGATAACTTCCAAAACCTAGTTAACATCGACGTTGTGTTCAGGATTAACAACATGAGGCAGAATAGAGCTGCGAATAGATCTTCTCTGACCCTTCCTTAACCATACAAGATGATGTTCGGTAAACTGATGATAAGCATGCCCAATTTTACTCACTTTTCATCTGGATTCGAAAGATATATATCAACAAGGCTTTGAAAGTTATATTCCATCAAGATCCACCTTAACTTATATGTTCAGAAGACGTTCGTTCAAATGTTTTCCCGACCTCGGTCATCAATGTTTAAACTATCTTTATGTATTGCATAAATTCCCATAATTCTATCTCATATTTATCTAAGTATTACAGTCTTTATGCTCATTGTCACTTACACACATGTTTTGAACTGTAAAAATGTAAAATATGAAGAAAAACAAATACCTAAAGATCTTTTCCAATAGAATGAGTTGAGATCCTTAAATAATCTGGTGACTAAATGATTCAGCATTGCATCATGCATAAATTATGCGATATGTGTCGATTGGTAAAGTTATCGCATAGATTATTTAGTATACCTCCTGATATAAATCTACACTTGTTTATATACCTTTGATACACTACTTAAAACTAGTTAGTACTAGGCGGGACACAAGCAAATGAAGGATAACGGAAGATGATGACGAGACAAACTAGATTCCATACCCACTTTCACTTTACAATCTCATTTGCTAAGCGTATGCTTATTGTGTACCAGACTATATTGACCTCATATTGTTGAACAAAGGCTGATAATAATAATCAAAACTGAAGTGTACGGAGAGGGATTCGAACAATGGAACTACTACTGATGGATAGTTAAATGATGATGAAGCCAAGGTGTCGAATTTCCACAATATATATAACAGATTTTCAGTAGGCTTTCAAATAAAAATGAAACATTTTACAAACTGGATCAATTCCTAGTAGATCACTGAGCTCTTAGTCAACAGATTTTGATTAACTTCACACACACACACACACTCATTGATTAACTGATTGATTGATTGATTACCATTTGGTGATCAAATCAATATGCACAATCTTGTAATAAAATGAGGTCACTTGTGACCCAGATAAATCGGTGTTAAATTTAGTCACTTTGCAATTAAGTGGTACGGATTTAAGCGAATAATAAGTTTCCTCAAGATTAAATATTCATCACGTTTATAAAGAAGGTCGAGGCTTTCTTTTAGTTTATACTAATGAAACCACTCAAGTCAATCATTACTGCTTACTAGCACTAGCTGGGTCGGAGTAACTGGATGGCTTTTCTGCTCGCTTGTGACCAAGCTCTATGACGATGTATCGGTTATGGGTGGCTCAGCTCAGAGAGCCAAGTGAGCTCAATTCATCAGAGGTTTCGTTACCTACATGTGTGAACTTGTAATGCACAAATACAAATCCTCCTCAAATGTCAGTCGACAGGAATTTGTCTGTTTGTAGGCTTGATCATTGAATGAAATCAGTTAGGGGACCATTGGAAAACCAAGGAGTACTGCATAGCTACTTCATCCTTCTTTGTGACACCCCGGGAGTTTAATCACACCGAAGACCTTCCGGTTATAAGAAGAACATACAGGTGATTGAACCACTGGAGCCTGAAGCGATGGCCCATGAATCCTAACTTCCCCGAATTCGCGATATAAATACCGACACCACCAGTCAATATCACAGATGGTTAACTGTTCCCTCACCTCCTTACTTGATGGACTCCACTGGTCATGACTTCTCACTAGAACTCCAGGTAACTTCCTGTGTAGGCCGGCCATGTCACTAGTGAGCATTAGATTAATATTCAAGTAGTCGCTAATGGTCGCGCCATATAGTGATTTGACAGAAGTTGGAATTTATGGACCACTGGATCAAGTCCCAGTGGCCTAATGGTCTCCCAGCTCGAATTGTAACCAGAAAGTCCAGGGTTCGAACCTCAGTAGGTGCCTACTGAGGAAGAGCCACAAACTGGTGTGATGAAAGAGCTGTCCAGTACTCCCAGTTGGTTTTCCAATGATTCCATAACTGATTTCAGCTCATAATGAAATCATGAAATTATTATTTAAGTGGTGATTTGCAGGGATTTGATTGGTTACAGGATTAATAACAAGGAAGTATCAGTGAGAGGACCACAAAGAGATTCCCAAAACTAAGGGAAAACGGCTCTCCAATACTCCTTGATTTCATAGAAGTCCTCCAACTGACATTACCTCTAGATCAAACCTGTAACAAATTGTAATTCGACATTTACAAAATATAGAGTTCGACGTGAGAATTCAAAACTGCATAAGTACCCTGCTGATGTTGCCTCCAACTGCATTCATAAATTTACGTGCACCTGAGGCAGCAACTACATTCGAAGGACACCAAGAAGGCCTTCTATCCGGTTTTCAGAGCATATTCCGAGAAACTTATGCTTAAAATGAAAGCAGATATTTACAAAGTG